GCAGCCTGGAGGGAAAGTGCTCACTCTCCAGTGGCTGCCTCTGACTCCTTTCAGCTGCTTCTGTCACATCAGCAGTGAGGCGAGAAGAGGTGAATGCCGGGCCCTTCAAAGGTCATCAGAAACTGGAGATTGCCTCTTACATGAAGTCCGCACTTGGGTCATTTCCCCCGATACAGTAGCTCACTAACAATTCGTGTGTTCTCTGCCACCTCCAGGCATCAACTTCTTAAAAGCAACTCTGGATTGATGGCTAGGTATTCTGACAGAGGAATACCTGATGTGAATATTTCTGAAATACTTGCTGAATCTCCCTGATTATCCAACTATTCATATAGGTCTCTTAGATCCAGAATATACTGTGCTCAAGCCTGCATCAAGCAGGCCTCTGAACCCCCTATGTCAGATGACACAGGTCTCCGAACTTTGAAACAACTCTCTCTGACACTGAACTGGGTAATGTCGAATTTTGTGCATGTGGATGACTTAACTGTTGCAAGGTCATGGGAGACTGAGGCTGTCTGACTCCATTACCCCACTTCACCTTTATGTGCCTAGCAGTGCTAAGCACATAGTAGGTGCCCAATGTGTCTAGTTTTAAAAAAAAAAGAATAAGGCTGTAGTTTAGTATAGCCTTAAGGTGTGTCTGTTTGTGTGTGCCTATGTTATTATTAATGACTGCCATTATTCAGTGCTGAAAATGAAACTCAATAGAAGGCTATGTAAGTAAATGCACAAATATTTTTCATCCTCAAATTCATATAGGATATTCACAACCTATATATATAACTTTATGGTCCTGTCAGTCTCTAAATATGTAACAAAAGGGTTAAAAACATAATACAAGTGTGAAGTAGTTGAATTTCTATTTTAAAATTTACTTTTCACCTAGTTTCTACTGCCAAAGTGAAATATAAATGTTTGTGTCTATATTTGGGAAATAAATGATTTGTGGCCTGTATTGGTGACTTGTGCTCTGATATGAAAAGATGCTTTGGTCATCCAACTATTCCTAATATTCCTGAACTTTGTGCTATGTCTAAAAGGTGGGTTAAAAGCAAATATTTATATGTTGAATCATACATTTCTCATCATTAAATAATCAAGCCTAAAAAATCTGATCTTAGAAAAGCTTTTTAAAACCACATACAAGAACATGCTAAGAGATTATATGCACTGTTAAAGCTAGTATTCCCACTGCAGGGATGATAATACAACTTTCTATTTTCATTACTTCATGACAAAAAAAGAGAGCATTATGCACGAGACCAAAATCATTGGCTTCTACAGCTCTGAAGCAATAACTGATCTACTCACTTGGACAGCTGTGATTTTTTTTTTAATTCTCCTATTACAAGACTAGGAAGCAGAAAAAGCAGCTGTTTTATTCAATTTTTCACAGGAGAAATTTTTATAACCTGGTCATTAAACACTTATTTCATAGGCCATTCTTAGAATATGGTAACAGCTGTATTATATTGCTTTATAATTATAAGAATAAGGCATTTTACCTATACAGGGACAAAAGAACAAAAAAGCCCTTCCCTGGGTACCCTTAATCCTTAAAACAGAATGGTAAGATGTGGGGCAGTTCTTCCCCTACCACCCTCCAGAGCATGCCAGAAAATGCAAAGAACTCTGAAGACCAGAATCACATTCAAACTTTCTTTGAAAGTAGCCAGAATGAGCACTCATCCTTTTTTCAAAGGTCAGGTGAGGTTCCTTCTTGAAGTGTACCTACCATCCAGCAAGGGCCAATGAACCTGGTGTCCAATAGCTTGAAGCTGGTGTTCAAGCTATTTTTTCTTTTCTCAACAATTTTCATAGAAACATACTCAAATTTAGAATTTTTTCTCACTTCCAACTATGGTGGTGTAATAGTAATAGATTTATTTAGTTATAAAGAGTAGCTAGCTGAACTGTAAAAAACAATCTCACCGTCTTGTTTATTCTGTGCTCTCTGTCCTCCTTTTAATCTAGCAACTGCATCCCAATAAATTCAGTCCAAAGATTTTTTAAAAAACTAACTTAATATGTATATTAAATTTCAAAAAGGCAACATCATTAAGAAAGAAGTTTCCAAACATTAAGGTAGGAAAAGGCGTTGGATTCTCCTTTCTCAATGGAAAGATGTTTCAGAATTATGGCCGAATCCTGCATCACGCAAAGGGTAACTCTTCCTCCTTGGTGAATTTCCCTGGGAAGTTTCCCTGGACAAAAACAGAACCATTATCTTAATGTGCGTTTGCACAAATACACAAGTGCACAGGCAAGTCCACTGGCTCTTCATCCTTCTGCTACCGTAACGATGTCTTCAGATATTTGGTGAAATCCAGAGGCAACTGAGTATCGGCTTCATTGCAAAGTCTTTTGGTTAGCTGATTTAAATCTTCATTCAAAAATGAATCCCCTTGTAAAACTTTATCCTGAAGAAATATTGAAAGTATGAGTTAAAAGTTCTTATGCCAACAACAAAAGCCAAGCTATGAGCAGAGCTAAAAATGGCAACAGCTAACACCAAACCACATGTGAACAGTAATAATGACGGGTCTGGTCCAGGCGTGGACATACCCTACACTGAATGAATGAGACAGTCCCATGACTGTCCCTATAGAATTCCAACCCCAGAGATCCTTCCTACCATCACCAACTACGCATGAAAACAAACAAAAACATCTACCTATAAACACTTAGGCAAATTGGAATCAGTTATTAAGAGATATATTAGTTTAGTTTTGATTTCATCTTCTAAAAAAATAATGAAAAGTACCACGTACCTTCCTTTTGGAGCTTGAAGTTTCCACAGGAGGATTGAATGTCATTGCGGCCATGCTGTAAGCCTCAAAGAGTTCTATAGCAGATCTACAGTCACAAACAGAAACCCACAGTCACAGAGACACCACCACACTGCGTACCTTGAAAACAGTGAATCGTACCCAGAGAATGACTCACTATTCTAAATCCATCCGTTAAGATACAACATGAGCCTGCTTTTGAAACCAACAAATCAACACACACAAAATAAATCCTAAATTCCCAGGTGGTGACAACATTATCCAACGAACTCCACCTCCCAGAGGTCTGGTATACATTTAGAAACACGGGCCTGAACAGAGAAGGCTGAAAGAAGAGCTCAAACTCAATGTGACCAAATCCCACCTCAACCACAGTTACGTAAACAACACGCAAGGAGTTTCACTCCATCACAGGAACCAGAAGAGCAAAGCACGGAGCCATCCTCCATGGATTCTGAACAGCTCAACCCTTCAGTTGTTGGCCTGGATTAAAAGCCAGGAGAACCACTCTCCAGAGAGAATAAATGTCTATGACCATGGCATGTAAATGAGTCCTTAATGATTTGGGGTTCGTTCACACGATGAGGTGATTAGGGTCAGGAGTCTCCTTTCTCAAGCCTTTGGGATGAACCAGTTGCTCATCTTCCTCCAGAAAAGGAAACCTCTGGCATAAATGAGGCAAATGTTCAAGAGCTCTGACCAAAACTTGCCATGGGGTAAAAAGGGTAATAAGGAACTGTTTTCTCCCTTTTGAAAACAAGGCTGGAAGACAGGTAGAAAGAATGAAGGAAGAAAGTAAATGGCCATTTTTAAATTTTTATGGCCAAAAGTTATCTCTATCCTACCCAGAAGTAAAAGGATTTATGGAAAACTGCAGAGTTGAGCCTCTTTTAGAGGGGTAAGCAGCTAATTACTGCCATGTAAAAACAATATAGCCTCATCTGGCCAAACCTCCCAGAGTGGGAGGTGAATGCCAGGCCGAGATCCGAGCTTCTTGCAGGTCAGAAGGCCAAGAATAGAAACTGCTGCCTCCTGGGCAAAGTGTTTCCAAAGCACTTTCCTCAGTTCTCCCTTCCTGACCCTCCCAGGGCCATTCAAAAGAAAAGGAATCGCATTGTATTGGACTGATGGATCGTCACATAAGCGAATACAGCACTGTCTTACTAACTGTTGAACTGGAGTCGGGCATATGGGGACTCCCTATTCTGTATACTTATTTGTATGTGTAAAAAAAAAAAATGTTGTGATTACCTGAAACAAACAAATAAAATCAGAGTCAGCATGTTTTCTCTCTAGAACAATTCAGGAATGTAAGTGAGACCTAATCCAGATAGCCAGCTAGCACTTTACATGTTAACTCTATTACGTTATAAAATACACTTCTCCCAGTGCAGAGTTATCAACTGAAATGTATGGTTTAATAGTAAGGCAATGCTAGCTACTACCTTCGGCTCAACTCTGGTTTGAGTGCTTCGGAGCCTTCCAAAGGGGCTCCCGCGATCAGGTGAGCTGCCAACCTCCGCACTATGGGATGGAAATGCCGCTAAAGGGGAAACAGGACAACATTTGTACAGGTCAGTGTTTTATAAAACACTAGCTACAGTGAAGATTTTATTTAATAAGCACTAATTTAAAAAAACTATAGATGTATATAGATGTTTACATGTGATTCATGTATGTGAACATAACTACAGGAAAAACACTACCTTTGTTCACAGGATTACAACACAAATCTGATGAGCAAGTCACCAGTGACATAGCACTTTTACAGTAGGAAAAGGAAAATCAAAAAGCAACTTCTCTTTCACAGGGAAAAAGTTCGTTTACAACAGGCTTCCTGAACCGTATTTTCTGAGTCTCACTGTAACGCCGGCCACACCGTAGGACCACAACATAGATGAAACCCTATCGACACTGGCGGGTGGGCCTGTAATGTCTCCTTGGATGGGAGCCAATACAAATGCGTCTGGGACGGGAAAGATTCCAACAAATTCTACCCCACAAAGCTGTCGTCTTCAGCTTCCTTAAAAAATGTATTTCAACATCTTAGAGTAGGAAAAGCAAAGTGAAATGTAGGCTATTAAAACACAAATTCTAGGAAAGGCGGATCCAGAACAAAATAAACTAAGTACTCTGGCAACAACAACCACTGGGAAAAGCTGCACACAACTGCTCGCACAGTGAGAGGGAGGGGCAGGCTCACCCGCAGAGCGTGCAGCTCCCACAGCGCGGTGTTCTGGGCATTGCAGTACTCGGGCTCGTCCAGCTCAGGAAGGAAAACTCCGCTTCCCTGAGACTCATTGTCAAGCAACAGGTCTGTTTTGGGGAAAGTCTGCAAAAATGTCACATAAGAAGGATTAATTAAATTAATGTTATTAAAGACAGTTACTGGGTTCTGCACGTTTATTTATACTTAAATCTCATTTGGTTTTATGGCTATAGAAGAGCTATAAACCCATGAACTTCAAACCCAGTTTTAATTTTGTAAATTTAAGCTTATGCCATAAAAGAACAAAAACTGCAAAAGATTATTTTCTTGGCTTGCTCTGAAAAGAGTTTATTTTATCTTGCAGGAGAAAATAGAATATTCTTTTCACCCAGCAATCCCACTTTTAGGAATCTTTCCTAAAGAAATAATTACATTAGATGCATATAACGCTATTCACTATAGCATTATTTGTTAATAGCAAAAACAATCTGTATGCCCATGAAAAGAAAAATACAAAATATAAAAGCCAGACTGCCTGAATTTGAATCCCATCTCTGCCACTTTTTTTTAAATACATTTTATTGATTTTTTTACAGAGAGGAAGGCAGAGAGAAAGAGAATTAGAAACATCGATGAGAGAGAAACATCGACCAGCTGCCTCCTGCACACCTCCTAATGGGGATGTGCCCGCAACCAAGGTACATGCCCTTGACAGAAGGCATGGGACCTTTCAGTCCGCAAGCCAATGCTCTATCCACTGAGCCAAACCAGTTAGGGCCCGCCTCTGCCACTTCTTAGTAGCAGCATCACTTTAGGCAAGTCACTCCTCCTCTGGACCTCACTTTTCCCTATCTATAAAATGGGAACAATAATAGTAGCTACTTCACAAAGCTCTCATGAAAATTAAGCAAGTTAAGTTTTGTAACACATTTTCACAGTGGCAGTCACATAGTAAGAACTATAGGTGTTAAACAAACAACCTCATTTACTCATTAAAGAGACAAGGTAGTTATATTTGTACTGACACAAAAATGTGTTCATCACCATTAAGTGTTACAAAAATATTATAGAATATGAATATCATAATCCCCACAACCCCTTTCTATTAAAAAAAAATAGCTATGTTGTTTGTGTGTGTTTGGTGTGTTTATATATGAATTTTCAAAAAAGTCAGCTGAGCCCTGACCGGTTTGGCTCAGTGGATAGAGCGTCGGCCTGTGGACTGAAAGGTCCCAGGTTCATTTCTGGTGAAGGGCATGTACCTTGATTGCGGGCACATCCACAGTAGGGGGTGTGCAGGAGGCAGCTGATCAATGTTTCTCTCTCATCCATGTTTCTAGCTCTCTATCCCTCTCCCTTCCTCTCTGTAAAAAATCAATAAAATATATTTTTTAAAAAACCTCCCATTTAAAAAAAAAAAAGTCAGCTGGGATACCCACCAAATGGTAAAACTTGTAACCTCTGGAGAGGGGCCGAATGCTTTCCTTTTGTAACCTAACAGACTTCCTTTATCATATGATTTTGTTACAGGTGTGGATTACTTTTTTTAATGTTTTTATTGATGAGAGAGAGAGAGAAATATCAATGAGAGAGAAACAAACATTGACCTGCTGCCTCCTGTATGGCACCTGCTGGGGATCAAGCCCGCAAGCTGAGCACGTGCCCTGACTCAGAATCAAACTGGTGACCTCCTGGTGCATGGGTCAACACTCAACCACTAAGCCACAGTGCCCGGGAAGGTGTGAATTACTTCTAACGAAATAATAATGTAACGGGGGAGTGGAATGAATGGACACACACACACACACACCAAACAAAACACCATCGTGGCACTGCCAGAACTTAGCTCTCTTCAGTGTATCACCACTCACATGCATTAATATCCTGTTAGTTGCTAAAATGCCAATGCTTGAGTTGGGAAGGACGTGAAGACCAAGGGTGCAAAGGCGCTTGATGAAGGCCAGGGCTCGCTGCTGAGAAACCTGCTTTCTGCGCTTGGTGAGCATGACATCGAGGCACTGGAGCACAATCTCAACCCCTTCATTGGTAGCACCTGAAACAGCAAGACAGACCCTTCATTACTTTTCCATGATCCAAGGTCACCTACCCCAGAGACCCAAGGTCAACTGTCACAGGTCCCACATCACGCCCCAGCCCATGACAGGGCTGTACTGCATCTCCGGTCAATTCTCCCGGTTCTCGCTCTCCCCGTCTTACGTGAGGTTACATACACATGTGGCCCTGGCAGGCCCGCACTTCATACACCAGTTTCTGTTTCTCATTGTTCATTGGCTATCATTCTGGTCACAACATATTCTTAAAAAAACTATTTATTAAAGACACATTATCTAAACATACGTACCTGCATGTAACTTGAACAGTGTTTTGTAGAGATGTGTATAGAACTTCATTGGATCAATATTCAGAACATCACCTTTTGAAATGACAACGAACACCAATTAGAAATGTTACAGTCTCCAAAGCTAAAGCAAACAAAACTTGATTATGAAGATATCTGACCTTGCCCAGAAAGAATATGAAAAGCGGTCTGGACACAATGAAGACTTTCTTGATAGCTTAGGTCCTTAAAAAAAAAAAAAAGAAGATATTAAGAAGAATAATACCATTTATATCTTGAAAAGTAATTCATTAATAGAGATACTTACACCAGACTCAATGAGACTATGGAGAACTACTAATAAATCATCAAAAAACTCCACATTTATAAGGTGAGCGAACCTAAAAATCAAACAAAACATAGTTAAAAGGAAACCTAAGAACAGAAATAAAGCAGCCACAAATTAAACTTGACTTTAAATTTGTAATTTTAATATTTCTTATTCCAAGTGTTAGCTGATAGAGATGATGGAGAAGACTGTTGCTTCTCATTCATTCAGACTGACCTTTTG